ACTTCGTTGCCTCGTCTGTTGATGACATTTTGATAAATTTCCTCTGTGGCAATGCAATACACGTTGTTATGCTTTCGCATTGTTTTGATGTCTTGATAATCTCTCGGTTGCATTGGTTGCAGTGGCAACGCTAATTTCTATTGGGAATTTATGTCGGCGTTGATATATGCAAGTGTGTGTACACATATGTGATTGCTCTTGGAAACTTGTCATATTTATTTAATTGAAATAAATAAGATATGTTCCCATATGCATTTTTTACAATTACTTTATGACAATTGTTTACTTTCAAACTTAAAAATTGTGAAGGATGTATACATATTTCCTTGGTTTCAAATATTTTAAAATGCTGTGAATGCCCTTGATTTGCACAAATTCTTTCGTTAACTTTCGCTTTAAGTTTATGGTCTAGTAAATTTGTAAGTGTTGGACATTTAAAAATATTCAAATATGTACTAATATGTGTGACAGACTTACCAACATCGCGTTATCAAATCTCAGAATGGTAACAGGCTCCTCGGGGAGGTATGCAGATCTGAGGTCAATTATTGCTTAGTCTGATGAAGTGATAAACAATAATCTAGTCAAGGCGCATAGAGGGGTTTTAAAGAAACCTCGCAGTTAATAGAGAGTAAAAGTGATCAGGTGCACTGACTCAACTAGCCTCAACATAATAAAAGTAATGTGAGTACACAATTAAACATATTATTATAATATACGTTACAAAATTGTATTTCAATGTCATTTATGACGTTATTTCCTACAACAAGTCATAACAATATATAAGTTCAAATGATATGATCAATTTTGTTAGAAAAATCTTAGAAATTTTTCCAGTAGTAAAGAAGAAAGAAAAACCAACATGATATGTTGAGTAAGATTATTTTGACTTAAATATTTAGTTAAAATCTGTTTAAATCAACCTTGCTATTGCATTTAATGGAGAGGTTTCGAATAGTAGTAAACCAAAACAACAAAAATTTTTTTAATATATTAATTAATGAATAAAGTATTCGTGTTGCTGTAAAGCTAGACTTTCTTTGTATGGTGACAAAGAAGCTTTATTAAAATTTAGAGGGGTTTTTATATATATTAATTAATTGCATTTTTGGAAATTAAAAAAACTCAAAATACAAACATACTAGCCAAGTACGGCTAAATACAATATGTTGCCAGATTGGCTTTATATTACAATACATAACATACAATATCAAAATAATTATTGTGTTTTTTTTGGAGATGTACCAGCACCTAAATTATATTTGGTGACTAAGATGACGCCAATTATAATATTTCTATATTCACACAAAAAATATATATTTGCTTTAAGAGATGCAATTTCTAAAATTCTTTAATCACCAATGTGACATGTCAGAATGCGAAAATGGCCATATTATACAGACAGTCACATGAGGAACAGTAACTATAGTTCTACGCTCTTTTTGGTCATAACCATGTGGGCAGATAGACAAATTGCAGTTATGTACTGTTATTACTATTTCATTACTTTTAGGTTGGGAACAAATTTAAAAGATAATACCTGTCTATAGACATCACAGCTTATATCTAATTATATATTTAGTTCGAAAATGTGCAACTTCTAGATTTTTTACTAAGCAACAATGTAAATATGATCAAAGTAAAGATGGAGAGAAAGCCATGTTTTTAAAAACAAAAACAATTTCATATCGGCTGTGACAAAGAATGTCTGTATAACATGGCTCTAACAGTAACAGACATTTGGTACAATTCAAGCTGACAGCACAAAAATAACTGGAATGAAAAAAATATTAGCTAACAGCACCAAAATTTGGCAGATCTAGTTGCGTTTTACTTAAAAATTAGTGAAAAATATAAATGTATAAGCATTTTCAATCAAGTAATACTCAAGCTTGTAACTCAAGGCTCAAGTCACATGCCTGTCTTTTATATATATAACTTTAACAATGTCAGTGACATTTGTCCTAGTATTAATAATTTTCTCACCAGTGTAATGTTTTTTTTCCGGCTTGCAAATGTGCTTAAAGCTTAACATGTCCATTGAATAGTTATACTCGTAATGTTAATGTACCGCGTTTTTTGTTCCTAATAAAAGAAATCAAAAATATAGAATTCTGATATTGTTAAGCTTATCATTTTTTGAAATGTACGTCATTATATTATTGATATTTTAAAAGTTATGTTAAGTTATGTGGTTGTATCTCCCTGAATATCCATCTAACAGAATTGAACAATGATATTCAGTATAACAATATATAACATTCCTTACCACTGGTGGGGGGAAATAATATATAATTGATGAGGCATTGATCGTAAGTCAATAACTGATTTTATTTAAAATTTCTTCGTGTTTTATACGAAATAAAATGCAATCATAATTAATTTTATAGTGCAAGATATACAATAATTACTTAAATTAATTTATTATTTAATTCGCACGAAGTAGGTGCGAATTAAGCAGTAGGTGCGAGCGATTAACTTATGACCTGATTCTTAATTTTTTGTTGATTCGTCAACAAGAATATTTAGAAATTTACCTTATTATATTGTTGATATTTATAAAGTTTAGTTATATGGTTCTTTCCATCTCTCTTAATAATAACAAAAGCTATCATTAAAGTTACTGTATATTTCTTAAAATATATAAAGAAAAAAATTTTCTTCGAATATGTATATGAATATATTTTTTAGTTTTTTCGGAGATAAATTTTGAATTTATTGTACATATTGAAAAACAATATTTAACAAAATTATATAAATATACATAAATATATATATTTAGAAATTTATCTTTTAATATTTTTGGTATTTATAATGTTTATTTACGTGGCTCTTTCCAGCTCTCTTAATAATAATAAAAGTTATTATGAAAGTTAGTGTATATTTCTTCAAATATAAGTCTAAATAAAAAAAATTTTTTTCAAATATAATATATATTTTTTTTTAATATTTTTGGGGATAAAATTTGAATATTTTATAAATATTGAAAAAAAATTTTTGTTATTTTGTTTGAACATATATTTAACAAAATTTTATAAGTCTGTTTTACAAAATGCTCCTGCTTAATTTAATATAAATTCTTCTGTATCTACAGTATACAAATTTAATAAATAAAATTTCCAATATTATATATATAATTTAGTAAAATTACTAAGACAATACAATTCATCAATTATTTCTAAACTTTTTAAGCTTTCAATATAACTCATATTTTTATTTTTTAATAAATTTTATACTCGCTTATGAATTATTAATGAGACTTAATAATTTAGTAAATATTTATACAATATTTAAGAATTTTCATTTCGCTCAGCACTTTACTTAACCCTACAGTGCTGTAAATATCAATTATTTCAATAAAAAATTAAAATAAACGCTTAAGGATATTTAATTATTAAAAATTAATAGCTCACTTCTCTACACTGCTTCCTTCACACAGATACACACACATACTTCTGTACATATAGAGCACATATGCTTAATGTCCTTGCATGAAATTATAAACAAAAGTTGTACATTAAAATGTCTTAACACAGAGGAGCATTTATCTAATCAAATGTGCTCACAAATACACAAACGGGCAGGCAGGCAAATATGCTTGTATACATGTATGCATGACATCAAACGTTTTGGTCGTGTGTGTTTGAATATTTAAACAGTTGTTCCTGTGAATTAATGACACTCATACGCAATGTTGTACACACTTTAAAGTGAATGTACGAGCTTAAAACAAAATTAACTAACATTTAATGTGATAACCAACCACACAAAATAACTATACAGTAGTTAAGCTAACAAGTGAACATAGTATGCTGAGAGGGCTGAGTGGTCTGAGGGGTCTGAGAGGGGCGTGTGGAAAAGAAGCGGTGGGGAAAAGTACATAAGACATGCACAAAATTAATTGACATTTTGACAAACGATGAAATTGTGGTTGTTGTATGATTTATTCGCTGCTAATGTTAATGTGACATGACAATTGTCACTTAATTATCTCTCAAATGTGATATACTTGTTGTATTTATATATGTGAAATATAGTTACTATGTCAGCTTTATCTATTGGTAGATGTGTATAGGTATGTCAAACGATAATAAAAGCATATGCTTGTGTGCACTTTCATTGCTTAAGCCACTTAGTAGTATCAGCGTAAAGTCACTGGCATGTCCTTACTGGCAAAAACTAATGATGGAATGACTGCGAGTGACGTTCGTGTTTTTTTTTCATTGTTTTCGATTGAATTAATATAAATTGCAATTTTCTACTTCAATATTTTTATTAAGTATCTGTCTTTTTGGCATGTGTGTGATTATATGGCAAACAGTCTTTTTTCACATTATGTGAGTATATATGTTCCTAATTATGCATTTATATTATGTTGTCAGAAAAATAGTGAAGAAAAAATATTTCTTTCATTAATAAAATTTATCCGAACAATTAGTGACGGATTCGTTTGGAAAATTACTGACACTACACAATTACTAAGCAAATTGTTGATGTGACAGTTTGTTCTTAGAAATTTGAGTTAACAGGAAATATTTTTTTTTTGTTTAAAAAAAGCCTTTTATAAAGCAGGATCTTTCGTTTTTATAGTAAATGGTTTATATGCAATTAAAATTAAAAATTGAGAATAAAAAATATTTATCTTACTTTTGATAAGATTACCTGACAAGCTGCCTATTAGTAAACACCAAGTGTGCTCATACTTGCTTCCAAGAAGTTGAATTAAAGGGGACCCGTCGTCTAACTGAGTATGTAGGTATCTTCTGTTAATTCTCTTTTTCCCTACAAATCTGTCTATTCTTTAAATAGACTAAAAGAAAAAGACAAATTTCTGTTTAACACAATATCATTTCTTTATTCAAGTTGTGCTAAATTGAAATGATATAATTTTAAGGAATTATAAATCTAACTGAAGTATGTTCAGATATATACAAAAAAAAATCAAAAAAAATGTTTTAAAAAGAAAGGAAACAAAATTGTATTTATTAAAAAGATTAAAGTGTTACAATAAAAGATAAACACACTGCAATTTTTTGATTTGGACGCTAAGAATTTAAATTCGTTCTCATCTCATTGAATTCAAATTTTATTTAACCTGATGAAAGTCCTTTCGTTCATTCTTCAGTCCAATAAAATTCTTTGTGAAAAAAATATAGTTATTTGCAAAAACTTTTGTTGAATTACATTTTTTGAATTTTTGTTCCAAATAAAGTTGGTACAGTAATATTGGAATTATGGGGCTTAAATTAGTAAAACCCTATAATTTTCATCATATTGAAATAAAAGGTTTTTGAATGGTTTGAAAATTTTGAAATTGGGGTAGAGAGAATCAAAAATTTGTATTAAAATAAATTCTTAGTAAAATTTTTTTAAATCTTCTCTTCATTGTTAGTTGAACTAGTTTCATTAAGTTCCTCATATGCATTAACGACTTGAACTTCATCGAGTTCCCCATTTGCATTAACAACTTGAACTTCATCGAGTTCCCCATCGGCATTAACATCAGTAATAAATTCTACTTCGAGCACTGCATTTGCATTAACAACTTGAACTTCATCGAGTTCTCCATTTGCATTAACAACTTGAACTTCATCGAGTTCCTCATTTGCACTAACATCAGTAATAAATTCTACTTCAGGCTCTACACTATTTAAGGTATCATTGTTTAAGTGAAAATTTTCGTTGTCAATTGATTGAAAATCATGTGCCACATCTGAACCTCTGATAGTATAAGCAGTGCTATCTATGGTGCCATCAATTATATGGTTACCACTATTAAAACTCATGCCAATCTCTGATTGCTGCTCATCATTATTAAGTTGTGGTGTTGAAAGTGATCCCCTGTGACTGGTTCCTTGTGCTGTTATACCTTGGACAATCTGTTTAAGCAGCTCATCTGAGGTTTCAGTAACATTTCCAGTGGTTTTTATAGCATCATCACCTATATGCACATTTTCAACCAAATTATTCAGATCTTCAAGCTGATTAGCAGATGTGGAGTCATTGTTTATACTCGAATCGATCTCTCTTTCCTGTTGAATATTTTGAAGTTGTGCTGTTGAGCATGATCTTCCATGACTTGTTGCATGTGTAGTTACATCAACAGATCTACATCGTGGCATTTTAGTATTTATATCATCTTCATCACTGTCACTACTTAAGTCATACCAGACACGACGTAGTTCTCTGATCGCTCGTTCTACACAAATTTCACTATTCCTTACTCTTGCATTTACTTCTCTTAAGTTAGTTAAGAGGCCCTATAGAAATATATTAAAAATTATTTCTTATATTAATAAATAAATATTCACTGAGTGTCTGTTCGATCCTCCAGCAGCAGATTGTTGAGGCTTATCCTAAGAACAATCGAAAATTTGTTTTATTATTAACATAATTTTAAAATTTTTAAGTACCTCTAATGTGGATCTACAGAGTGGACACTTTGGGCCATGCAAGTAGAACCTCGAATGCATTGTTAGTTGTGTAATGCATCCATGACAAAACGAATGCTTGCATCTCAACGTCTTTGGATTTGTTTTAATTTCCAAACATATCATACAGATATCTTCATTGTTATTATCACCCATTTTGAGAAAAACCTTTTAAACACTTTTCGAGTATTTGGAAGAATTACCAGAAGAATATCTATGAAGTAGAATGTACTTTATTACTTTATTAAATGAAAGTCAATATTAAATATTAATATTAATCTTATTAATATAATATTATTAATATTATAGTCCGAAGCGCCGTTAGCCAAAAAGCGTCACAAAGTATGATAGGAAGTCTACTTATTTGCTGGTTTGCAATGGGATTCTCAAATTAACTATTCTGCAACTTTTATAAAGAATGAAAAAGATTAATACATTATATGAGTCTGTTATACCTAAGGTGGTGAATTTTTACCTTTAATTTTGTCTAATTCCAATCTTGAAATCTTTCAATTTCTTCTTTTTTTCGTATTTAAGAATTTTATTTTGCTTCTAAAAATTAATTATATAAAACATTTGTATTTTATTTTAAGGCAAACTACACAGTTGTGTTAACAGCAAAGTATTAATATCAAGTTTATAAGAGAGTTATAAGGCATTTTTGTGGGGATTAAAAAAGTGTAATTATTAATTTTCTATCGTCTGAACAGAAGAATGACGAGAAAGTCTTTCTGTGTAAAAAGACCAAAATATAGTAAATAATATCAATTAAATTAAATTAAATTAAATTTTATTTAGTTGATCATTTAAGTGCTGCCAAAAGTGCTATCAGGTTTTGGAAGTCTAAGATGTGGAAAGCAGCTAACTACAGACACCGTACAATTTTGAAGGAGATAAGAGATAAGAAATGCTTACTAACATATTTTGGCATACTAACATATAAATATAAATACGGATATGTATAAGAATACTTATGTGATCTTAACACACAAAATTGAAATATATACTTACGTGTTCCAATTTTGAAGACCAGAGACGATCTGGTAGATTTCTTAGGAAAAAGAATTCTAGAATATGTATTGTAACAGATATCAAATCTGACTTCTTCAAACAAACACTTTGCTATCTTTAATAACAGAGAAAAACCTTTATAAACAATGTATTATAAAAAAATAGATTAAGATTTTTCACCTTTAATTTTATTTAGTTTACCATAGTTAATGAAACTTTTTCAATCGCATTGAATGTTTATATTTTTTTTATAAATAAGTAAGTTTTTTGTAATAACTTAATTTTATTTCAAAGCAACTACGTTAAATAAATGGAAAACAAATTAAACATATTTTCAGAAAAAGCCTAGTGTGGGGTAAGCCCCCCAGCTATTATAGAGTAAAAGTGCGTAATAGCACTAATTCAAGAAGAAGAATCAAGAAGAGAAGAAAAAGCTTTTTCTGGGTGCCCTTTGTAGTCTTAACTCAACTTTTTATTTCATTAGTTTACATAGCGAAACAACAGGCAATTTAAAGTTCGCTTCGATAAACAATGGTCGTTTGAAAGAAATATTAAAGCGTCCTTCAAGGATCGTCTTTATCAGCTTTCTTAACATTGTATTGAGTAAATTAAAAAAAGTCGATAGCATTAATAGTAAAATCCATAAAAACTTATGAATCGAAAGCGTAAAACAGTATAAAAGGGATATTGATCTATACTTTTCAATAATTGATGGTTATCGAGTCCAGCACTAGGTAGACAATATACAATATACAGTAATTTTATTGTCTGTGATAGGTGTGCGGATCTTTAAAGTATTCTTCTATAATTAGTAAATATTTGACTTCACCAACCTAACTAAAAATTTATCAGGAAGTAATAAGCGATTAATAAAAGTGGTTACCAACGTAAGAGATTGTAAGTTATTGCAGGCAAATCCTCGAGGATCAAGACAATACAACCGACACGTCTGAAAGAAAATTATGCAGAATGTAAATTTTGTTGTTTTTCTTCTTCCTTTTCACTTCGTTCCACCATCTCATCAAGTATGTCTGTTGTCTATCTTTAATCCATCTTTTGTTTCCCTCTCTCTTTTCTTTTTTTTGTTTTTGTTTTGTCTTCCCTTGCTTCTCACTTGTCTCTCTCTTTCTCTTTTGTTTCTCCTTGTTTCTCACTTATTTCTTTCTTTTTCTTTTGTCTGCCCTTACTTCTGACTTGTGTCTCTCTCTCACTTGTCTCTCTCTCTCTCTTTCACTTGTCTCTCCCTCTCATTTATCTTTCTCTCTTGTGCTCTTCTTTGTCTTTTTTCTCAATTTTTTGTGTCTATAGTCTTTCTGTTGTTTCTGTCTTAACAATTTTTCGTCTTCTTATTGTCACGTTTGGCTGCTTTCTCCCCTATATCTCGCTGTATGAGGGTTTGTTAAGATATATTTTAAATAATACTACAACTTAAACATTTTTCATTGGAAGTTTTCCTGAACTTTTCGAAATTCATTTCTTTGCCAATAAATAAAACAAAACAGAACGGGAAGAACATTTCGGAAAAAACAAATACATAAGGTGAAATTGAGGATTAGTGGAGTTGTACCACATATATATATTAAATTCAAGTATAGAAGTATATACTGTTTGTATATACAAAAATAAATGTATATACGTAACAGTATATATATTATTAAATTGATATTAACAGATTCTCATTTTTAACCATTGAGAAAAAAAAGCATTGTGAGTGAAGCAGCGGAATAAATAGAACCCCATTTTTGAAACTTAGCCCGTTACTGTTAGAGACCCAGTTGGCTAGTAGAAAAATAATTACAGATTTGAACCTAACTATAAAACTTATTGCTTAGTGTAGTCTTTTGGCAAGAGAAGGGGAGAACAACGACAAAAATTATTTAATAAAAATCACAAAACGCAATGTCATATTATATATTAAGTTAATTTAAAATAATTTAATTTAATATTAGCAACGCGATATTTAAAATTATTTCCTATCGGTTTTTTTAATATGATATACAAATATGTAAACATATACTTACGTGCTTTGATTTTTGAAGATATGAAAAGAATTAGTGAATTTTTCGGAAAAAGCCTTTCGTGGAAAAGTTGACCAGATTCTTCTCTTTATAAATGCCTCTGGCTGGCTCTAGTGTGTCCTTCTCTCTACTACCCACTATTATGAGGTTTTTGTGAATTCAAAACGGCTTTTTCAGAGAGAGGGACTCGTCCTCCTTCCACCACAACTAACTGAATAGCAGACAATAGTTCTGTAAATGAATTAAGAATCGTATGTATCGCTCTTCACATAAATTTTTTGTAACCTTTAAATATAAGGAAACATCCTTCTTCTTTAACACTTTGTATGATATTAAGAGAAGAGTTATAATCTCAAATTTTGTTTAACTCAATTACTTAAAACGTTTCAATTTCTATGGTATTAAATGCTTACATTTTTTACAAAGAAATAAATTTTTTAATATATTTGTATTTTATTTCAAGGCAAACTATGCAATTATATTTTTATAAATAAAGTAAAAAGAAATTAAATAAAGAATGTCTTGAAAAAGTAGTAGTATTATCCTGGAGTACCTTAATAACCTTAACTGAACTCTTCATTTCATTTGCTGACAAAGCAAAATGTGAAATTTTAATTTTAGTAAATTATATACTTAGTTTATTATTTTTATTCGAATTTATAAAGGAATCAGGTAGCAAAAATAATGAACTTCAATCCCAGTAGAGCTGACCTCATGCGGCGTCATTTGATTGTGGTCACATATGTGCGGCTTCGTTATCCACTTCATGAAAGCTTGCATCCATATGAGTGGCTACTCAGTACTTGCAAGTAGTTGGAGTGTGTGTTGCTCAATGAAGGCAAGAGTACTCGGTCATTTAAAGTAGCAACAAAAGCATTTCCGTTGATCATTTAATGATGCATTTTCGATGCTAACCATTCAATGGCAAAAGCAACCAAACAACTGAACCAACTACTCACCAAACCAAATCAACCAGCTAAGCTAACCACTGTGATTTTGTAATTTTGTTGCAATGTGACTTGGTGGGAATGTCATCCTATGCCAAAGGACTGGGGAATAGTGTGTACTCAAACATGGCGACGCGTGCTTGTGATTGTGTAAATACTTTCTAAGTGCCACTAGAAAGTCTTTTCATATATATATATATATATATATTTTTTTTTTCTTTTTGGTATAATTACACATACCTTTCTTATATAATTTACTATTTTTTTATTTTTTGTAATTACAGAGCACTCCCTTTTGCACTTCTTGGTTATGCTACACCATATTCCAGTGCACAATTCCAAAATGAAACGTTTCAATTGCTGCCAAGTGTTTGATTAGTTGCTTTAAATGAAATTTATCGTTTCCACGGTATACGTACAGTTTCCGCTTGTGTGATTGGCTCTGTTTGCTGGCTACTCCATCGGGCTGGAATCTTGCTGCTTCAGCGACATTGGACTGTTGCTCAACACTGGCAGTGGATAAACAAAAAATTTAATAAATTTTAAAAACTGCTAAGAGTGGCCATGTTTGCTTGTTTGGGTGCGTTTGGGATCTGTTGTTTAACTCTGCTCAGTAGTTTCTGTTGTTGTTTATCAAAGCATCATTTTTACAATATCAACACTTTCTTGGCTATAGTGAACGCAACTTAATGAGACCAGAACAGTTCATTGCCAGATAAATGGACTGCAATATTGCTGCTGCTATTGTTGTTCTTATTATTGCTGCTGTTGCTGCTGTTATTGCTGCTATAGCAGCTGATGTTGTTGCACTTGTAATTTTAGCTGCTCTTGGCTTGAAACTGCATTGACTTGCATACTGCTCTGGCATCTTACATCAACCGGAAGCACCCAATTGTGTGGAAGCAATAACTTTTCTTAGCTGCCGCTTATGCTATTGAAGTTGCAAAATGAAACTGGGATTTCTATTATTAAATGTTATTTCAGATTTATTTACATTTGTAGTGCAACAAACGGAAAATTGCATTTCGTTTGTGGTCTTAATTAAATGATGAAAAGCGTATCAGGTTTATTGCTCAGTTAAGTTTGTTAAAAGCAGTAATATTACTGCTACAATCGGAAACAAAAATTATTTGTTATTTATTATTTTAATTGCTCGGAGTATAAGTCCGTTACATCTGAAATTTCTATAAAAGGATACTATGAGTTATGAGATAGTCATTATTACATTTGATATTAATGTTAATATAATGAAATCTATTTCAAAACTTACTTTCCTATGTCTTTCATGCACAGTAATTATTTATAGCAGTAGTATATATGTTATTATTTAAGATTTAAACCTTTAATATTTTTAAGACCTTTCAATTAATATTTTTTATTGCCCCCTGTTAAGAATTCTTCTTCTAATAGAAAAGTTAATAAAGTGCACCTTTATTTGTGAATTTTCAATCAAGTGAATTCTTGAACTGGTCGAAGTTCAATTTAGTGCTTCCTTATATTGCCGTAATAAGTTTGACATACAATAGCTTGATAAGAGCTTTTAAGGTGGCTACGGAGGATAAATAATACTTGTTGATACTAAAAATTAGAAAAAATTCGAATTAATCTATATATTCAAATTCTTAATTATTTCAAAAAACTTAGCAATATCCAAAACCAATACTTCTTCTTTATAAAGACATGTAGAAATATTGTGTGTAATGAATGTTTTAATAAGGAACGAGAGTTTCTTAAACGATTGCCTGAAAGTAAAAAAATTATAATATGAGTTTGTATTAAATATTCAATATTTCATTCCAAAGTACCAATTGGAGAGACTTACATACTAAAATTCGCTATAATTTCGAAAGTATAGATTAGTTTGGAATTGAAGTTTTTTAAGATTACTAATGGTGTGTGGATGGACTTTAAGGACATGAACTATATATCCAATAACTCATATTTAAACTAACATAGGGCTTATGTGCAATAACAGAATATCTATTTTGAGTATAAATTGTTGGTAATAATAAGAAAGTTTTAAAATCCAAATAAAATATTTCAAACAAGTAAATTCGTTGGCTAACCATAGAGCTATTTCAAAGATCTTTATATATCTATCCTTAATAATTTTAAAAAACCTGTTGTTTTAATTGTTCATATATAATTTCTTGGTCACAAGTGGTATAATTTGAATCCTGTCGACTTTGAACCGTTTCGCACTGCATCTATTTTCAATTACAATTTGCAACTGCCGTT